GAAAAAAAAAAAAAAAAAAAAAAAAAAGCTCCTACAATCAGAAAAGTGAGCAAAAGTTTCAATGGGTTTCTTCAAGCCAGAAACTAAAAATAGCCAATAAGCATTTTTAAATGTGCTTAAGCCCAGAAATAATCGGAAAACTGCAGTGGCAACCACCACATGGCACCAGTCTCACCCAGAAGAAAGGGAAAAACAAAGGAGATAGCAGTAATAAGTATAAACAAGCATTCAAAGAGACAAGAACTCTCACACAGCTGGTTGAAATGTAGATGTGCGCAAGAACTCTGGACAACTGTTTGGCACCACGCACAGGCACAGCCTCGTGGGAAGACTTGGGAGGGAGCATTAGCAGGAGTCTGCTCATAGATGCTACCTACCTTCAGGGCTTCGGGTGAGGGCTGAAGTGCAGAGGGGGCAACATCGCCAGGCTGTGGGCAGGAGGCCCGCCCTACTTGGAGGCAGGTGAGGACACACTGGCACTGAGGAAGGAGCAAAGCCGGACAACGCATTCCATGAGCCACAGCGTCCATCCAAGAAAACAGGCAGCATGGAGGCTGCCAACAGGTTTCCTCGTGTTGTGCAAGTAAATGGAAAAGGAGGTCTACACGCAAAGGAATGACTGCTCGGTGCAAAGAAGCCAGGACTTGTTCAGATTAAAGTTTTCCAGATCCCCAGATGACAGCTGACATTAACTCTAACGGAAGACTTCTAAACAAGATCAAATCCAGAGACTAGGGAAAACAAAAGCTGAGAGAGCCTGACCAGAAACCTTGTGTTACAACCTCAGAAATATCTACAGCAAGAGCACAGAAAACTTTCTAGTTAGGAAGGAGAGCCTCTAAGAAGTTTGAGTAACCCAAAGCAGAGTAGTTCATCTCAGTAAACGCCGGTAAGATTTATAGGAGACCGGTAAACTTTTTAAGAAAATTATATTAGCAAACATGTCAGCACTGGAAGGAATAAGGATGATCAAAACGGAGAAGAGACCTCTAAATTCTACATGCAGCGAGCAGGCTGAGAAAGCGAGGATGAGCGGGTGAGAGAACAGAGCCACGAGCCCTGGGAAGTCATTCCCGGGAAAATTTAGGTCTCTGTCCTTACCAAAGAACTTTCAGTTTTTGCTCAGCTAAATTTCAGAAGTTCTGTGGCCTGGTTCCTCCTCTTGGCTTTTTTCCTCCCCTTTTGAATGGCAATAGTGATAGCAATCGTCCCACTTCTGTCCCAAATTTACGAGGTGTATTTGAAACACACAGTGAAGGTTTAGCTTAAAAATTTAGTACAGTGAAAGACACAGCACCACGAAACCCCTCAGAATTCTCTCCTCACAGGCCATCTTTCTTGCCACTTTCTGAAGCAGTTCTAGAAGGGCTCCTCCTGAGGGTCTTTACACAATGTGATCAAAACTACGGTGAATTCCGCTGCCGGTGCCATACGACAGGAAGGCAGCTCATGAAAGCCCGACGCTGTGTCTCCCTCCACCTTACTCACCAGATCTGGTGCTGTGTTGTCAGAGACCAGAGAGCTGAGGCCCCCCAGCCTCCCCTGTGCGCACAGAGGAGGAAGGCTGCACGCAGGGGTGGGGGTTACCAAAGGTTCCAGGAAGAGTGAGACCGCGGAGGCCAGGTGTTCCCGGAGCGTGTACCAGCGGACCCTGGAACGCAGAGGATCCTGCATCACTCTGACCGCATGTGCCGAGTTTGGGTGAGTAAAGGCCAGATGAGCCAGGCTTGGGGTGGAGGGTGGCATGGCTTCTCTGCCGGCTTAAGGAGGTGAGAGCTCCTGGTGCCTGCACGCTGGGCTGACTCTGTCTCTCTGTCATTCATCCTCACTCGCCCCCGGGTCAGGGAGAACAGGGAGTAGGGGGTCGAGGTCCCGGAGCACGGCCGGCCCAGTGGGTTGGCCACAGGTGGTGCCAAACATGGGGCTCAGAACCCAAGCTCAACTACACTGAGTCTGGCTCTTCCCCAAAGTCAAACTGACCACGAAGAGAAAACGTTTTGAATCTATTCAGGACACGGGGGCAGCCGGGACCAAACAACTAAAGACACTCAGGCAAGAGTACTTCCAGGGCCAGGGATTTAGCTTGGTGGTTCTGCTGCCTGTCTTGCAAACACAAGGTCCCCAGTTTGATCCCCAGGAACCCCCCCCCAAAAAAAGAAGAAGAAAAAAGAGAGGAACTGTTTCACAAAGTGCCTAATATGATGGGCTAAGTGTGTCTGAAGTGAAGGCAGTTTTTCTGGGAGAATTAGTGGCAATGTGTCTTTTACTATATTAAAGTTTTAAATGTAAACATTCACTGTAAAGTTTGATCATCGCACGTATGTAAAATGGAGAATTCTTAAGCCATTAGAAGAAACAAAGTACCGATAGATGCTACAACCTAGATTAAGTCCAAACGTGCTACACGAAAGAAGCCAGATGCAAAGCTCACATGTCCTGTGATTCTCTTACATGGTTTATCCAGAAGAAGCAAATGCACAGGGACAGGAGAGCAGCAGTTACCAGGAGACGGGGGGACAATGGGGAGGGTGTTTCTGTAGGATGTGAGGAGACTGAAACTAGAGAGAGGTGGTGGTTGTCATCAAACATACTGAATTGTGTACTTTGTAACTGTTATTTGTATGTCCGGTGAATGTTGCCGCCATTAAAAATGTTCTCACTGAAATCTCTTTCCATTTGTACCAAGGAGCCAACAGAATGGGAACATGTTAAATAAGATCAGAATTCAGCGTCTTACAACCTAGAACATATCTGCCACAGACACGAGTACTAACTGAAGTAGAACACAATATGCAATTAGAGTTTACAGTTTTTAGGGGGAAATCTTGTTTAAAACAAATTTTACTGTTTGCCCCATACCATGTGTTTGGCAGGGTCTCCAAACATCCCAAAACAGCGTTGCAGGTTAAAGTTCCATGTAATTTTTCCCAGAGGATGTTGGCACATCTCAAGGAATACTTGATACCTTCTTTAATTATTTACTATAATTAGTGCCCTATTGAGCTGACTGCTAATGTGGCACACGTTCTTAATCTTGTCACTGATGTGTCTGTGTCTAAGATGTGACTAGGAGAATTCCTGGAGGTTATCTGAACAGAAGCCCTCGCCTGTGGGTGGAGGGTGGTGTGGAGCGACTCTGGCTTGGGCTAACTGGCAGGGCAGGCTAATGCTGTGACCTTCTCTTTAATTAGGTCTTCCAGGCGGCCCGTTATATAGGCTTCTGTCACACCCAGCACCTGAGGGGGTGCTTTCTCAGACTGGGGACCCACGTCTCACCAGACTGGCGTTAGGAACTATTTTGTCACTGCTTGGCCCGTTTGGTGAGGGATGGTGGCAGTGGAAAGGGCAGCAGGGTGGGCGCACGGGCTCAGGCCGGGGGCCTTCTGGCTCTGGGAGGAGGAGCAGAGCCACAGAAAGGCACGGACGGCCTGGAGGAGAAGGGCGACAGTGGTGCTGCCTCAGACTCCTGTTCAGCTCACTGTGCAGAGGGCGGGGAGACCCGAGCCAAGGCGGGTGCATGGGGCTCTGCCCTCCCCGTCTCCAGGTCCTCCTCTGAGGCTCTCCTGTCACCTGCGGGGTGACAAACGCCCCGGATTTAAGTGCACCACCTCATGCTCGTACCTTCTCCAAGTCCGTCCTTCGCACCTTGGCCTCTGAAGCTGTGAATAAGCTGGCTCCTACATTTGTCCAGATATTTGCATTTGTTTCGCAGTAAAGTTGGGCTGAAGTAGAGCTGACTATTCCTGGAGGTGGGGATCTCAAAATGGCCCTCAGACAGATATTTGGTTTTTGGCAAACTGAGTTTCAGTGCACGGACCCCAGGTGAGCTGAGTCTCCTCTGAGGAAGGAATCTGCACACCCGCCATGTAGGGACAGTCGCTTCAGGGCACCAGAGTGTATTTTAAGCACTATAGGAAGCCACGGAGAGGATACAAAAACAGGAAAGATGCAAGTTGTATGTGAAGAAAATTAAAACCCCACGGGGGAGTGAGAGCGTGTAAATAACAGGCCGGAAGGAGGGAGGAGGAAGGCGAGGCGCAGAAACAAACTTGGTCTGGAAGTCAGAAGCCTCAAGACTACAAATTGGAAACGAAATGCCATGTTTTGTGAGGACTATAAATCAAAGGCCTCAAAATGGCAGGCCGCAGACTGGATGCAGCCCACAAAGGTGTTTGGTTTGGCCCACACCGTGTTTTAAAAATAGTAGATTTCCCATTTTAAAAAAAACAACCTGGATTTCCATCTTGTGAAAGCTCGCAGACCTGGCAGGCGTCCGCACTGCCCACTGGCAGGCCTGGCCGGGCTGCAGGCCATGGTTCCATCCTCTCCACTTTCCTGCAGGGCTGTGCGCTGGCCTGCTCCAGCCCATGCCCCGAGAGTGCAGCTTCCAGCCCTGGGCTTCCGAGTGGACAGCAGTGTCCGGCTTCACCGTCCGCTCTCCCACCCACATGAGTTAACCCCCTGCCCGCTATAGAGGCCCCTTCGACCTCCTGAGTGTCCTTTGCATGGGGTTTACCTTTGTACGTCCCCTGTGTGTTTGTGTTGTTTCTGCAGCGCGGTGGGAGAGACCCCCCTGGAAGCTCCTTCTGGCCCTCTCCACCACCCAGAGCTGTTCCCAGGGACTTGGGGTCAGTGTTCTGGCTACTACGGTCTCTGTCAAGTGTGGACTCTCAGGTCCCAGGGTTCCCCAGGATGTGATTTCTTTTACCGTCCATAGTTTGTTTGGAGCTGCCCTGTTTAATTTCCAGCTATTTGAGAGGTTTTTAGACATCTTTGACATTGTTTCTAATTTAATTTCACAGTAGTCATAGACTATTCCATGAATCCCATCCTTTTAAATCTATTGACACACGTTTCACAGACAATATGCTACCCAGGTTGGAGAACAGCTCACAGGCACTTGAGAAGAATTTGTATTGTGCTGTTGTTCCGCACAGTGTTTTGTAAATATCAGTTAGGTACGATCGGTTGATCATGCTGTTCAAGTCTTCCATTGTCGATCGTGAGTTTTTGTTTATCTCTTTCCATCAGTCGTGGAGAGATGAGTGTTACAACATCAAGGTGAAAGAGATGGGTGCCTCTTCTCCATTCAGTATTTTATTTCGTATACTGAAAAGTCATGTTTTGGAGTACATCCATATTGAGGATCATTATATGTTCCTGATGAATTCACATCTGTATAATTATGAAACTGATCTCTTTATCTCTAAAACTATTTCATGCTCTGACATCTGCTTTACCTGATGTTACACAGCCATTCTACCTTTCTTGTGCATAATGTTTGCATAGTAAACCTTTTTCCTTTCATTTAAGGTGGGTTATTTGTATATATGCTAAATATATGTTGTACATTACACATATGTAGGAGTCTTATGTTTATCCAGCTACACAGCTCTCTTTTAATGAGATTGTTTTTGTGACTTACATTTAATTAGTGGGAGCTGGGTTTACAGCTATTTAGATACTATTTGGATAAATCACACTTGTGCTTATTCTTTTTTCCTTCTTTTTCTCAGTTACTCTTTGGAAGTCATACTCAGCTGGCAGGGTGGGAGTGTTTGAGCTGCTGTCAAATGAAACCAAACTGTTAATCCTCCTTTAGTTTGTTTCACTAGAAAGACTGACAGCACATGGGAAGGGATGGATTCCTCTGGCCCCTACGCAACACAAAATGTGAATTTTTAAACTCTTTCTCAGGGAAGAAAGAGAGATAAAGATTTGAAAACTCACCACTCATTGCTCTTCTAGGAGAAAAACTCCAGGCTCCTTTTTAATGAATTATTGGGGAAAGGAAAGAAGAGAAAAGGACTTGCACCAGGGAAGGGCAAAGGGGGGTCTGGAGTTTGCCATGTAGGAGCAGGGGAGCCAAACCCCAACAGCCGGAGGGGCAGTGCTGCCGGGGGGCTGTCAGGTGAGCAGGAGCTGGGTACTGGTACAGCAGTGATTTTGACAGCGGACCGCCGTGCCTTTCCAGGAGGAAAAACCGTCCACTGCCCCACCCACTCTCCTCTGAATACTCTGTGGCTGTGCCCCACATCATTTCATAGCCAAATTGCTTTTCAGGACTGAAAGGGGTGCTGGTGAGGTGGGGAAGGGTGTCTTCTCCCTTTGCTGAGGGCTGAACTAAGACCTACGTTGGCTCACTGAAGCTCCAAAGCATTTTTATGCCCAATGGTTGATTGTAGGTGACAAGAAAGCACAGTGGAAAAGCTGAAGCCAGGCTAAACTGGCTTTGAACTCCAAATTGCAGAGTAAATTAGGGTTCTATTAGGCAGGAAGTGTCCCGAGACGAGCGCTCAGTGTTTACCAAGAACCTAACAATTGTCAGCTTTCTGTATCACTTCGCTTCCTGCAGCATTCTGGACTGGATGCTTGCATGGCCTCAGATTCACCTGTTGCAATCCCAGCCCTTCGTGGCATGGCGTTGGGGTCTCGGGGAGGGTAATACGTCGGTGCGCTGGGTGCACCAGAGCGCTCCCTCACCTCCGTGTGGACCCTGAAGGCTGGCCATCAGCGAGCCAGGAGTGGCCTCAGCCTCCAGCGCTGCAGGAAGCAAATCCCTACCCTTTGCCCAACCGTCCAGCCTGTGGTATTTTGCCGCCGCAATCTGAATGGAGTAAAACAACAAAGAGTTCACCATCGATGAGAATTATCCTTGGTGATTTTGTGTGTCTTCATTATATACCCATATTAACAATAAACAGGAAAGAAAAGACTATTTCTAGGGTATTTGTTACGCTGTGCTTTACATGTCACACCCAAAGCAGACCTCTGCCAGGGCTGAGAGCAGTGGCACCTTCTGCTGGGAGCCTAGAGAGTCCCAGCCACCCAGGCCCTCACCGACAGCCTCCTCTCACCACACCGGAAGGTCTCAGCTTCGCGTCCCAGACTCCAGCCCCGCGCTCCTTGATGCTAACAATAGCACTCTCAGCAGAGGAAGGGCGCTGCGCAGTCTGTTTCCTCCTTGGCTTCTCCTACCATGGAGCTGGCAGGCTGTGACCAGTTTAGGCGAGGCGTCACAGATTCACACCCGCTCCTGGGTGCTCTATGGCTATGCAAATTTTATAAACCTACTTTCTAAAGTCTTGCTATGTTAGATCTGAAACAATAAAGAACCCTCCCAAATTATTGAAAAGTAAATGGGAATAAGACAGCAATATTAGAGACATCTTTGCATGAGAAGTATGACTTCCAGGCCATAATACGGGAAGCGCAGAGCGGAGATCAAAGCTTAACCCAAGTGCACGACGTCAAGGCCCTCCAGGATCTGCTTCTTATTAAATTTATCCAAAAGAGAGTTTGCTCACATTCTTCTCCCTGAATACAGCTCTTTTCGGAAGAAAAGAGATAACGTAAATTCTTAGGTATTCCGTTGCCCTCTAAAGTGCTTCTCAGTGCTCGTGAATTCTGCTTTTCCAAAAGTAGAAGCTACGCGAGCGAGTCAGCAAAGCGCATCAGGCCAATGCCGCGGCTCTCGTCAAAGCCCCCACCCTGTCCCGCATCCCCTCCAGATGAGCGCTGAGTGCACACTTCCTACACGCAGGTATGCGGGATAAGGTAGAGGACTCTGACATGTCCGCTTTCAAACAATCCATGGCTTAGGAGAAGTAGGTAATAAATATTTATAAAGAACACCTTTCCTGTTGGCCCCCAACTTTTCTCCATAAAGAAAAACATCCTTATTTCTCTCTCTCTCTCTCTCTCTCTCTCTCTCTCTTTCTCTCTCTCTCTCTCTTTTGGCTAAAGAACTTCATTGTTTACTTGAAATTCTGTATTTACCTGCAACAAACCAACCTCAAATTATTCTTCTAGAAACAGATTTCTGCCCCAGGTAAGAGGCTTCCCCTCAGTAGTTGGTGCTCCATTATGCGGGAAAGAAGCAACCCAGAGCGGGGCATGCAGGTCAGCGGCAGAGCATCTGCCCATCACGCACAGGCCCTGGCTTCAGTCCTTAGCAGGTGGGGGTCTAGTTTGCTTACGTGCCCTTTTGTGAAGAACCAAACGCTAGCATTTCATTTTTACACACACGAATCAGACTCTGCCTCTCTCTCCTTCCCACTCTGTGTCCCTCCTCCCCCTTCCATCTCTCCCTCTCTCTAAAGGCTACAAAAAACAGGCAATGGATTTGAATTCCTTATATAACTTAATATTCCAATTTGAATGCAAATTATAAACCTTGCGCAAGGGGTCAATTTCCCCATCTGGTATGCGAGAATAACTTTGAGCCATGATTTAGAGAGCTAAGTTTGGGTTTAAAGTTATTTTGCCTTTGCCATTTTAATGATTTTTGTCTTTAGTAAAAGGAAAACAATTAAGCCATTAATTAAAAGTAAATGCCTCTCCTGCAGGTACCTATAAGTCTATTTATTAGACTCCTAAACTGCCCTTAGTGGATTTTAATTGACTTTTCCTAGACTTCATTTACCCCACGCACGTCACTCTCCTCCGCCAGAGTCACACATTTCGGTCCTATTAACGCTAATGGAATTTATATGCATCCACGCCGGGGGAAAATAAGCCCCTTAAACACCTTTTTAATGGAACAGTTTTCTTTCTTTCCTCCTGACAATCCTCCGTGTGGACTTCTCTTACCACTCTGGGCTTCCAAGCAGTACGGTTCTGATTTCTTTTTCACCTCTTATACTTTATTCTTTATTGAACTCTAGTACTCAGACTAGGACTTGACTTCCCCTCTTTTATTGATTATTCCTGGAGAAAGCAGCATGACTGAGCCATCACCACTGGATTCCATGTTCTGCTTTCAGAGTGAAACTCAGTTTGCGTTCATTCCAGCCCTTTACTTGCCAGCAAAGAGATTTAACACAGAGACCATTTTTTATCCTGCAGACTTGCTAGCCAGAAGCTAATCAAGTAATGAATACCTAGGTACCAGGAGGCTAAAGACTTCTCCGTGTCACCATGAAAATAAATAGGCGAGTTTTCAGACTCTTTCACTTTATAATGCTTTTTATTTACACTTTAGGGAGAATTTTCCTCCTACTTTTAAGTACCTATCACATAGGACTTCAGCAACATGTCCAAATTCGAAACACTCAAGTAACAGGAAAACAAAACATGCCTTTGGAACAGTAAATCCATAGGAAATAGACTTCTGATGCATATGCTAATAATCATATTTTTGTTTAGCTCTCAGAAATGCTTTGTTCTTTATTGTTTTTATAAGAGCTTGATTGATGAACTTTACAAACCAGCTGTCTTCCTTTCCCTCCCGTAAAGTATGGGATGTGAGGACCAAGTGTCTCACACTGTTGCTAACTTGAATCGCTTGACATTGCCATTTTTGGTAGGTCAAAAACTGTGAGTGTCAAAAAGTGTAAGTGTCTGTACTAGTACTGTTAACCTGTGGTAATGTTACTACTATACTCTTATTTTTTTAATTCTGAAGATAGAATAAAAATACTTTTAGATTTGGACTTCATTGATTTTTAACAGATGTATTCACTATATCCTGTGCTGTTTTTCTCAATCTCTGTGTGTACTTTTGTTTTTTGCTTTTCCCTTTTTGCCTCTGTCCCAAGCTCACTCTGCAGAGCCAGTTTCCCGCCACTCTTCACTTTTGCTTCCTTGAATAAACTTTGCCACTGTTTGTTTGCCGTGATGCTGTGATAAAAGAACAATTAACGCAGGAAAACTTGAAACAGGGTTTCACTATATTCTCCAGCCTTGGACTCACCGGGCTCAGAATCACGGCGATCCTGCCGCCTCAGCCTGCTGAGTGCTGGGGTCATAGGTGTTGGCCACCACGCCCAATTTTAGACTCGAGTCCAGACTGGAAGGTAAGAGGTGACAGTAAGCAAGGAGGTGGGTGACCCTGAGCTACCAGTGTTACTTCCCTTCTCTGACTCCTCTCTCCAGATGTCTCTTCCTACAGGTGACGGAGATGGGACTGGGCTCTTCCAGGCCACATGGCCACAAAGGAGAGAAAGGGAAAGAGCCTTCAAACTGTTTAGGTTTCCTGCTGAAAGCCTGAGTACAACCTCATTATTTTGCTATTAAATTTGGCATTACTGCAATAAAATAACTTTCATTATACTGTAGTGATATAAAAAGTGTGGGAGAGTAATGGAATTCACAGAAGCTGTGTGTTCTCTGATTTCCAAGGTTGGAAAATTTTAACTCTGCCATGATGCAGCTAAATTAATGTATTTTCCATGATGTGTAATTTATTATGGAAACCAAGCCTTTATCAGAGTAATCAGGTCAGAGTTTGGGACACATTCGGGGGCTGTGCTGTTATCTAGCACCCCAAACACAAAGGTGAACATCACACATGAAATGTATTTCTGGCAGCCCCTTAATGAGAAAGCTTTTAAATTTGATGCAGTGTCATTTGGGGATGTAATTAAATAATGGATTTTAATATTAGTCCCTGAAATGCAAGAAAGAGAGGTGTACAGAAAACTGGGGTGAAAGCAGAAACAAAAATGTGGGGGATTTGGTAAGAGGCAAGAAAGGCCCTACCTGGAGCCAGTCCTAAGAGTGTCCTCTCTGTTGGTCAGAAATGGTGGCGCACTGTCCATGCTCACGCCAGAGTCCTCGGGCAAAACCTGACAGCAGCCCCGGGGAGCCCAGCATCAGCTCCTGGAGATCCAAAGCCTGCTGCTTGATGTCCTCTGCCCACACGGCTTTGCTTTCAGACCCTTGCTCCTGTGTGCTTCCTCAGAACCACCCCACCTATGGGCCCCTGCATCTTTGTAACCAAGAAGCAAAGCTTGGAGCGACCAGGAGCATGAGCTTCTGAGCTGCATGCCTGAGTTTGTCCAATAGCTACTGTGCTTACAGGGCGTGTGACTTGGGCCAACTATTTAGCCTCTCTGGCTTGCAATTTCCTCGTCAGTAAAAGTCTCCTAGGGTTTCTGTGAATGTGAAACAACTTCTGACATCTAACAGAACAGTGAGTTCATGAGCACTTTGCAAATGGCAGCTGATGTTGAACAGGGTGAACTCAATAGCCTCTCTCTCAACCTGTCTCTCTCTACACCTCTCCCCGCTTTAAACCTAATCTAAGAATGTGTTTCTTCTTCTCCCTTGGATGGAATCTTAAACCATAATTGTAAGCTTGTCATATTTTTCATGACGATTGCAATTACTCTCTGTCCCAAGAAGTTACATTTGAACAATTAAATATCCAGTAGTATAAAAATCGTCAACATGTCCAACTTCCCTTTCACACAAATTTCCCTCTATCCCATCTTGAACTCCTCTAGACCTGGACGGTTTGTGTGTTGGAACAGGTGGGAGGGGAAGGAGGGATCCACTTTTGGTCTCCCTCCTAACTCTGCCTCACTGCTCCCAGCATCCTTGCTCCCCAGGCCTGTGCTAGGAGAAGAGGGATTCTCAGAAAGCCCACGGTACTGGTGGCCATGGCTCCTGAGGTCTAACTCTAGGCACTCTGAACTTGGCAGTTGATCAGAGTTAGCACTTTCTTCAGCAGAGTAGCACTGGGGTTTATGCAGAAGTTTACAGTTTTGAAATTAAGGGGCCCTTTTCTTTGACTGGTCACTAATGACCCCAAGTCTAATCCGCTGGGCATCTGACAACCAGCCCAGACTCTCTCTGTTGAGGTTCCACTGCCGCTGAAGCAGCCCTCTTGGCAGGAGGACTCTAAGCTGGCTGTGAGCTTTGTCGTCCTTCTTGACTGAGCTCCCATGTTCCCCTTGCCCCCAGGAAAGGCCTGCACCCTGGCCTTGCAGCGTGATCTTTCAGTCCTCTCAGGGGTGGGTGGGCATCATACACAGGCATCCTCAGCTCAAGGGGGTGCATTAAGTCTCCAGGAGGACTCCCTGGAGCCTCTGCCACTTAGAGCTCAGTGTTAATGTGCACAACCCAAACAGGCCTCCTCCTTCCTTGCGCCCTGGAAGACCTGCTTACTCCGCGGACATACAAGTCTCCCCAAAGGGATCTTCTCTCCCAACTTCTCTGCCCTCCATGCAACATGTCTGAGAAAATGCAGCCCAGTGTGTCCTTTGGCCTCTGGTGGCAACTGGGCCTGTAATGTATTATGCTCAGCCTTGAGACTCTCAGCCAAAACTGCAACCATAAGATGAGGGGCTCAGGACCTCCCAAGTCCCTGTGCACTAAAGCCTTGGTCCCAGGTCATGGTGCTTTGCACAGGGGGCAGGACCTTTAAGAGGTGGGACCTACTGGGAGGAAGTGAGTTTAATGGGGTCTGTCCTTGAAGGAGATATTGGGATCCCAGCCCTTTTATCTCTGTTTCCTGTGTGCAATGAGGGGAGCAGTTCCTTCCATAATGCACTCCTATCATGATGTGCTGCCTTACCAAGGCCAAAAGCAACAGGCCAACTGGTCATGGGCCGAATCCTCCAATAGTAAACTTTTTCTCTTTTTAATTTGATAATCTCAGGTATTTTGTTACAGTAATGGAAAGCTGACTAACATAGAGGTGTCCCAAATTACCTTCTGTTCTGCTTGTTTTTAATAGCTGCTCATTTCCAAGACACTTTCCACATTCACTGAGATCTTTGACAGATATAGTCTGATGATCTTTCTTTGGAAAGTTTTAATTTATGGAGTTCAATGCCTGAATAAAAGG